CTCGGAGGCCAGGAGATCGCATATGAGAAGGCCGTGACCTACCTTGGATGCCGGATTGACAGGATGTTGCGTATGACTGCGCACGTCGACCTTGCTATACGCAAAGCTCGCGGGCAATGCTCCGCCCTGTCCTGAGATCCAAGTTACCGACAAAGTCGAAGTTAACCATCTACAAAACATATATAAGACCCCTGCTAACATACGCTACTCCGGCCTGGAATGCACTCCTAAGCGATCATCAGAAGCGGCGACTTCAGGCCCAGCAGAGTTTATCATTACGAACTATAGTCGGTGCGGGTCGCTACGTCCGGAACGACGTCATAGCGGCCAACCTAAAGATAGAGAGCCTGCAAGAATTCGTGGTCCGGCTGGCGCGCGGTATGTTCGACCGCGCCGACAACGGGCCACATGAACACCTCAACGGCTTCGCGCCGTTGCACTCACGGCCGCCGGACGGGCGACCCTATCCAAGAGAACTCCTCCCTATATAGATTAGGGAGTCGAGTAAACCCCACAATGCCACAGAAAGGCCAACTCCGACAAAATAACTTGTGTTAAACACAAAGTTATAGACAACCATCCTTAATGACAAAATTTAACCGACCGCGACAAAAGTCGCTAAAACAATATGCCTTTACCACCAAGGCGCCCAGGACCGGCACACTGCAGTGTGCCGTGAGGAACAACCGGGTAAAGGGGTACACCCCGAGACCCGAGACCTGCACGGCGTTATGTCCTGCAGAGGACAACAACGACGGCCTGGGAAATTGTAGATGCGATGCAGGCCTTTTAGAAAAGAGTAGACACTTTTTTCGAAGACCTTTCTTTTTCTAACCTAACTCGAATCGGTCCAGAAAAATTGGCGGTGGTATTCGACTCCACAAGGAAGTTGTACGGTATAAAACTTCACTAACTTCAACTAAATTGCACAGCGGTTGACCGCCGACCAACCAGATGGTATGGATGATATCGCGAGTTTTGTGGCAATTAATGTGATATCACATGACTTGTAAATCTCCATCCTCGTGTATTATTACAGGCCGTCAGGGATATGCTTCACTGCAGCTGGCAGCAGGCCACAGCTGCACACAGACGTCCTGACTGCCGCGGGATGGCAACTGTAGTTTTTATTTTTTTATTATTATCTTATCCCCTTATACGTATTGAATAAATGCGGCCACGAGCTGTTGTTTATTTGTGCGGGCAATCGGTCACGGGCGCGAGATCACTTGGACTCTATAAATAAAGTTAGTAGGGTCGCTAGGTTTTCTTCAATTTAATACCGGATAGAGAAAGGAATTTCAAAAGTAAACATTAATCGCAATAAGACATATCGATACTAATTTAAAGGATACGAGTGAGAGGCGTAGCGACAGGGTAGGGGTGAGGGGGCAAGGCCTCTGGCGGCAGATTTTAGAAGACAACGGCAAGGATAATAGTGAGTATCAAAAGTTCATTATATTTGCTCAGTGTGACAGCTTTGGCAGACATTTCCCGTGTGAAGTAATCTGTGGATGAAGGCTATGCTCAGTAACTTTTGACGGCCGGCGATGAAGTGACAATAAACATTGAAAAGGAAAGGATGAGAACAACTGGTGGATGACGATGGCTGCGACAGACAGTTCGTGACAATCACGAGCAAACGTCGTGGAGCCATGCTGCAGCAGTATAGTTGTCACTGTATAAATGGGTCAGCTCGATGGGGGAAAGATCGTGCTCTAAAAATATCAGCCTGAAATTCCAATTAAATGCTGTGTTTTTATGTGTTTTGTATGGTGAGTGTAGAAAAACCTAATAGGGTCTATTTAATGGAAACCTGGTCACCCTACAGCAGTTAGTTGACGCGCGCTATCGGCTTGTGACGCAATTATACTTCGCGTAGTCCGCTCGCGCTCACCCACTGAACTAATAACGTTCGATATATATATATATGTGTGTGTGTGCATAATATATGTGTGTATCTGTGATTATAAACGTGTATGTACAATAATCAATATGTTTATCTATAAATGACACACTCCGATACAAATGCAAGTGCAACCGAACTGCATCGGTCCGTGTGAGCGTGTTACCAGCAGTAATTAAGTATTGCGCAACTACTGACCTTTAGCGAATTAAACGGACTATGAAAAAATATTTCATTCAAGTGGTCCGCAAAGTCATTCGAATTTATTAACCTTTAGAAAATTACTGTTTAAAAATATTATGCATTTAACTGTTTTTTGTTTTAAGCGACGACGTCAGGTGCGCTCATTTCTTGTAAACAAGCGAAAACATTACATTACAATGTAAACGCTCACAGAATGTCGCTTGCAGTTGACCGGCTCCGTGGCCCAGCACTCGGCGCACGTTGCAGCTGTGTATGCAGCTGTGTATGCAGCTGTGTATGCAGCTGTGTATGCAGCTGTGTATGCAGCTGTGTATGCAGCTGTGTATGCAGCTGTGTATGCAGCTGTGTATGCAGCTGTGTATGCAGCTGTGTATGCAGCTGTGTATGCAGCCGTGTATGCAGCTGTGTATGCCGCTGTGTGCGCTGTGTATGCCGCTGTGTATGCAGCTGTGTATGCAGCTGTGTATGCAGCTGTGTATGCAGCTGTGTATGCAGCTGTGTATGCAGCTGTGTATGCAGCTGTGTATGCAGCTGTGTATGCAGCTGTGTATGTAGCTGTGTATGCAGCTGTGTATGCAGCTATGTATGCAGCTGTGTATGCAGCTGTGTATGCAGCTGTGAGGTGTATGCAGCTGTGTATGCAGCTGTGTATGCAGCCGTGTATGCAGCCGTGTATGCAGCTGTGTATGTAGCTGTGTATGCAGCTGTGTATGCAGTTGTGTATGCAGCTGTTTTAATTTCACAACAACTGATAATTCAATACTTTACAACAGGGGTTTCTAAATTTTTAATTCTCAACAAAACCCTTTTATTTTATGGAACCCAATAAAAGATAATTTTGTTACTCTTTTGACTTTACATCGCAACCCACTTTACTAATCGCTGCTTTACAATACCATTAAATTCGTATATACTTAATAGCAAATATCACCAACACATATTTGTGTTGATATATACATACGTGTGTCAGTGTATTTATTTATTTATGCATGTCGTCTGTATATAATATATATGGATGGGTCCTACCTTGAACGAATTAAGGTCCTACGTACGAGTATACGAGTCAATGTGCAAAATCATAAATTTTCAAGAGAGACATTCAAAGTTTCAATTTGATATGTTTTTACATGCTACAATTGAAGTTTTTGAAACTTTCTCTATTTACTATAAAAACTATAAGCGTTATTTAGGCTTTAATGAGTTTTATATATATTTTTTTAGATTTTGTTTTACTGCACGTATGCCCGTATGCATGTGTAAGTAAATTTTAATAATTTTCTTCTATCGAAAAATAGCAGGAAAAAGTCACTGTCACTTTGGACTGTCTTCTTAGTTTAAAATTACTTTTAATTATATGCGTATTTACTGCTTCATACTCAATTTTATATTGATAGATTAAAATAAATAAATTATCGTGAATCAGAAATATTTTAATCATGTTACTGTTTTAGGAAATGTGTCATATTAATACTTATACGTTGTCTAACTTGATGAGATAATATTCTGCACTGTTAGTTACTCCCTAAAAAATTATAAAATACTGTGACGTGTTTATTGAATTTTTGTAGAGAAGTATTAAAACTTATATACACCTAAAGAGCAAACACATAATAAACTTTATAATAAGCTTCTTAAAATTTTATATATTGCATGTTTGAACATACTTTAAAATAGTTTTTAATATACCAAGCATATTCGTCATCACTTATTGTCGTCATTATTATTTTATCATAATATTTAATAAATTTTTATCATTACTCACTGGCATCAATGGAAATATTATCGTTAGATGCTACCAAATTAACGCAATACCCGATATACACAAACGGAATAATAGTTTTGTCTTTCTTTTATGGATGGATGTATTGGTAATAGCTGATTGAAACACAGCTATAAGGATGTTTCTGTAGACCTTTCAGCCATTTTTCGTCTTGTTCTGATAGGAAGTTCGGCAATGGCTTTCTACTACATCTATATAAAGATCTAATTTGTAAAACAGAACGTAGGATTCATGTTTACTGACACGAATTTGTTTTATTTTAAACCTAAGCACGTTTGTTCTATGGTTTATCACTTTAAGCTAAAGGGTACATAGGGCGTACATACTGGCATATAATGCTATGAGGCATTCTCTGCCAGTCAACCCTGGGTGCCAAGGACAATTGTTGGCAGGTGCGAATGTAATACTAAATAAAGTGTACATATATTAAAATATATATGCATAATACATACATACACAACACATTTAAATATACATACATATAAGGAGCTCCATTTACTTTAGCCCATCTAATTGATGAACTTTACTCAGACGGTGTATGAATATTCTTATGTTTCGAAGGGCTTTTAATTGTGGCAAGTCATTAACAGTCACCCTCAAGTTGGGTATTATCTTTCTAGAGAAAAGTAAAGCTTAATGTTAATATTAAGCTATTTACACTGTGCTACACGAGGCACGTCCACAGCGGACTCTCTATGTGCTACACGAGGCACGTGCACAGCGGTCTCTCTATGTGCTACACGAGGCACGTGCACAGCGGACTCTCTATGTGCTACACGAGGTACGCGCACAGCGGACTCTCTATGTGCTACACGAGGCACGCGCACAGCGGACTCTCTATGTGCTACACGAGGCACGCGCACAGCGGACTCTCTGTGTGCTACACGAGGCACGCGCACAGCGGACTCTCTATGTGCTACACGAGGCACGTGCACAGCGGACTGTCTATGTGTTACACGAGGCACGTGCACAGCGGACTCTCTATGTGCTACACGAGGCACGTGCACACGGATTGTGGGCACGTGCACAGCGGACTCTCTATGTGCTACACGAGGCACGTGCACAGCGGACTCTCTATGTGCTACACGAGGCACGTGCACAGCGGACTCTCTATGTGCTACACGAGGCACGTGCACAGCGGACTCTCTGTGCTACACGAGGCACGTGCACAGCGGCCTCTCTATGTGCTACACGAGGCACGTGCACAGCGGACTCTCTATGTGCTACTCGAGGTACGCGCACAGCGAACTCTCTATGTGCTACACGAGGCACGCGCACAGCGGACTCTCTATGTGCTACACGAGGCACGCGCACAGCGGACTCTCTAAGTGCTACACGAGGCACGTGCACAGCGGACTGTCTATGTGTTACACGAGGCACGTGCACAGCGGACTCTCTATGTGCTACACGAGGCACGTGCAATACAGCGGACTCTCTATGTGCTACACGAGGCACTTGCACAGAGGACTCTCTCTGTGCTACACGAGGCACGAGCACAGCGGACTCTCTATGTGCTACACGAGGCACGTGCACAGCGGACTCTCTATGTGCTACTCGAGGTACGCGCACAGCGGACTCTCTATGTGCTACACGAGGCACGTGCACAGCGGACTCTCTGTGTGCTACATGAGGCACGCGCACAGCGGACTCTCTATGTGCTACACGAGGCACGTGCACAGCGGACTGTCTATGTGTTACACGAGGCACGTGCACAGCGGACTCTCTATGTGCTACACGAGGCACGTGCACAGCGGACTCTCTATGTGCTACACGAGGCACGCGCACAGCGGACTCTCTATGTGCTACACGAGGCACGCGCACAGCGGACTCTCTATGTGCTACACGAGGCACGTGCACAGCAGACTGTCTATGTGTTACACGAGGCACGTGCACAGCGGACTCTCTATGTGCTACACGAGGCACGTGCACAGCGGACTCTCTATGTGCTACACGAGGCACGTGCACAGCGGACTCTCTATGTGCTACACGAGGCACGTGCACAGCGGACTCTCTATGTGCTACACGAGGCACGTGCACAGCGGACTCTCTATGTGCTACTCGAGGTACGCGCACAGCGGACTCTCTATGTGCTACACGAGGCACGTGCACAGCAGACTCTCTGTGTGCTACACGAGGCACGCGCACAGCGGACTCTCTATGTGCTACACGAGGCACGTGCACAGCGGACTGTCTATGTGTTACACGAGGCACGTGCACAGCGGACTCTCTATGTGCTACACGAGGCACGTGCACAGCGGACTCTCTGTGTGCTACACGAGGCACGTGTACAGCGGTCTCTTTATGTGCTACACGAGGCACGCGCACAGCGGACTCTCTATGTGCTACACGAGGTATGCGCACAGCGGACTCTCTATGTGCTACACGAGGTATGCGCACAAACATAACATCAGTCCTTTTTAGGTTGGTGAAACAACAGATTGACATTTTTGTTCGCTACATCTCTATTCTGTCTTATTGACTCACATTTGGTGCCATAGTTACATGGATTAAATCATTCTCCTTATGAAGCATCATCATCTAAATAAAACGTAAATTATTTGCCATTTACGTAATCACAAATGCTTTTAATCTTTTCGGAATTGTTAGATGTTTTACGGTGATTATGCCGGCTTCTATTATCAACCAAAGCAGTTACCCGTCTCACTAGATTAAGCTAATGCAGTTTTTATTATTATTGGTCCACAGCAGAGAGTATTCAAAAACATCTGTTCCCAAACAATTACTTAGTATTTTGATTGTTTTGTATACAAGGAAAATGATAAATGAATTGACTTCTACTGTGGTATAAAAGCACATAACATGTATGAGTTTCTTTTGGTAAGTAACTACATATTTAGGTGTTAATCGGTATAATTTTCTTTTTGTGGTTTGAGTAAGTTGCACAGGTGCTATCAAACAACTATGCTGCGATGTGTTGTGATTACTTTGATTTTACTACTCACCGTCAAAGTTATCTTTCAACAAACTTAAACTGCAAATGCTTAATATCTCATCAGCTACAAACGGAAACGGAGATGCCGAAAACAAAATGTAAGTTCTATTTGTATACTATTTAATAATGAGGGTAGTATTGGGTAATAGCTAAACCACTTCAATCGCTTCCGGTGTGAAAAACGATAAATAAAACCACTATCAACAAATAAAATTATTCAGTTTGATTACCATAACGAATGAAAAATAAGTTCAAAAATGAGTAATTCCAATGTGAATTTTTAGAACAAAACGCGTCATAACGGCCAAATTACGATATTGGCTATCTAGAAAACATAACTTTCATGTTAAAACAATTAATTATGAATTACATAAAAAATGTTAATCGAACATGAAATAATACTTTTAAAGAATGATTTAATACTAAGAAAGCTGTGTGTCTATATTTTCGTGGATTCCATAACCTGAATCATCAACCTCCACGCTATTATTTACATTGTCATTGGCTTATTTAGACTTCTGCGCTTCAAGTGATATTTGATTGTCATTGTTTATTAAAAATTATCCAATAACATGGATAAGTACCTAAAAACGATGTTGTTATTATCACAGCCAGAACGTTGTTCCGTGTGTCGTAAATGTATTTCACTGACTGGTTGACTGATGAACTAAACAAAGACGCGGCATCCCCCCACGCATACGAGATGATATACTTGTAAGTTCTTAACCCTCAAACAATCGCTTAGCCATTTACGGCAAAAAAAAGAGTGCTTCTACCGATAAAAATGTATTTTTATTGATTAAAACTACTTTTACGGATTTTATCGCGTTTATTTTACTATTATTTTTAATTCCCGGCGTTTCGGGCGCTTTCCAGCACCCATGGTCAAGGGGGACGGAGATGACTGACGTCCCGATGTCATTGTTAAACCCGGAGTACCTTCAGCTTTTTTAATTATTGTTTATGGTCCGATCTATGCACAATGAACTGACTATGTCCTGAGGTCTTGCAGTGGTATGCTTGGGTTTAGTTTTAATTTTATTGATTATAGGATCCCAACAGGTGGTAGTACCCAGCCTCCTTCTCTATTGAAATTAGGATGCTTTTTTAATTTCAATAGCCTCACGTATCATCCTTGGTGGGAATCGGTGTTCTTTCGCGAGGATTTGTGGTCTATCAAATCTGATGTAATGGTTGGGGCCGTCTAGGATCGCAAACTGCAGACTTCCCGGAACGTTGATGCTTAGCATCAGCTATATGTTCTTTTACGCGGGTTCTAATTGACCTTTTTGTTTGTCCTATATAAGAGACACCACATTCACAATCAAGCTTGTACACTCCTGCATTTGTAGAGGAATATGACACTTGACTGATTGTAGGAACCGACTAATCTTCTTCGGCGGCTTGTAGAATGTTCTAATAGAAGCTCGCTTCAAGATATAGCCAATCTTGTCTGTGATACCTCTGACATATGGTAGTACAGCAGGCACACGCTCGACTGTGGCCGGCTTTACTCGGACACTGAGACGTAGGCGCGGGACCCGAAGCTTGTTGTCGTGCAGAACTTGCTTAACGTGCTGAAGCCAAAAAAAGTAACAGCTCGGTGTCAGGAAGTTGGCGGTGTCTCACCCCCGTGCCTCGGAAATTACTTAAAACCGTTGGTTCTGCGCCTGATCTCTCTCCGTTCGTGTCGGTGACATCGGACTATGAGATCTGTGCATGCGCATACTCTCACACTCGGGCACTATCCTGATCTCTCCCTGTTCGTGTCGGTGCCATCGGACTATGAGATCTGTGCATGCGCATACTCTCACACTCGGGCAATATCCTGATCTCTCTCCGTTCGTGTCGGTGCCATCGGACTATAAGATCTGTGCATGCGCATACTCTCACACTCGGGCACTATCCTGATCTCTCTCCGTTCGTGTCGGTGCCATCGGAATATGAAATCTGTGCATGCCCATACTCTCACATTCGGGAACTATCCTGATCACTCTCCGTTCGTGTCGGTGCCACCGGACTATGAGATATGTGCATGCGCATACTCTCACACTCGGGCACTATCCTGATCTCTCTCCGTTCGTGTCGGTGCCATCGGACTATGAGATTTGTGCATGCACATACTCTCACACTAGGGACTATCCTGATCTCTTTCCGTTCGTGTCGGAGCCATCGGACTATGAGATCTGTGCATGCGCATACTCTCAAACTCGGGCACTATCTTGATCTCTCTCCGTTCGTGTCGGTGCCATCGGACTATGAGATCTGTGCATGCACATACTCTCACACTAGGGCACTACCCTGATCTCTCTCCGTTCGTGTCGGTGCCATCGGACTATGGAATCTGTGCATGCCCATACTCTCACACTCGGGCACTATCCTGATCTCTCTCCGTTCGTGTCGGTGCCATCGGACTATGAGATCTGTGCATGCGAATACTCTCACACTCGGGCACTATCCTAATCTCTCTCCGTTCGTGTGGGTGCCATCGGACTATGAGATCTGTGCATGCACATACTCTCACACTAGGGTACTATCCTGATCTCTTTCCGTTCGTATCGGTGCCATCGGACTATTAGATCTGTGCATGCGCATACTCTCAAACTCGGGCATTATCCTGATCTCTCTCTGTTCGTCTCGGTGCCATCGGAATATGAGATCTGTACATGCACATACTCTCACACTAGGGCACTATCCTGATCTCTTTCCGTTCGTGTCGGTGCCATCGGACGATGAGATCTGTGTATGCGCATACTCTCACACTCGGGTACTATCCATATCTCTCTCCGTTCGTGGCGGTGCCATCGGACTATGAGATCTGTGCATGCACATACTCTCACACTAGGGCACTATCCTGATCTCTTTCCGTTCGTGTCGGTGCCATCGGACTATGAAATCTGTGCATGCGCATACCCTCACACTCGGGCACTATCCTGATCTCTCTCCGTTCGTGTCGGTGCCATCGGACTATGAGATCTGTGCGTGCGCATACTCTCACACTCGGTCACTATCCTGATCTCTCTCCATTCGTGTCGGTGCCATCGGACTATGAGATATGTGCATGCGCATACTCTCACACTCGGGCACTATCCTGATCACTCTCCATTCGTGTCGGTGCCATCGGAATATGAGATCTGTGCATGCGCATACTCTCACACTCGGGCACTATCCTGATCTCTCTCTGTTCGTGTCGGTGCCATCGGACTATGAGATCTGTGCATGCGCATACTCTCACACTCGGGCACTATCCTGATCTCTCTCCGTTCGTGTCGGTGCCATCGGACTATGAAATATGTGCATGCGCATACTCTCACACTCGGGCACTATCCTGATCTCTCTCCGTTCGTGTCGGTGCCATCGGACTATGAGATCTGTGCATGCGCATACTCTCACACTCGGGCACAATCCTGATCTCTCTCCGATCGTGTCGGTGCCATCGGATTATGAGATCTGTACATGCGCATACTCTCACACTCGGGCACTATCCTGATCTCTCTCCGTTCGTGTCGGTGCCATCGGACTATGAGATCTGTGCATGCGCATACTCTCACACTCGGGCACAATCCTGATCTCTCTCCGATCGTGTCGGTGCCATCGGATTATGAGATCTGTACATGCGCATACTCTCACACTCGGGCACTATCCTGATCTCGCTCCGTTCGTGTCGGTGCCATAGGACTGTGAGATCTGTGCATGCGCATACTCTCACACTCGAGCACTATCCTGATCTCTCTTCGTTCGTGTCGGTGCCATCGGACTATGAGATCTGTGTATGCGCATACTCTCACACTCGGGCACTATCCTGATCTCTCTCCGTTCGTGTCGGTGCCATCGACAATGAGATCTGTGCATGCGCATACTCTCACACTCGGGCACTATCCTGATCTCTCGCTGTTCGTGTCGGTGCCATCGGACTATGAGATCTGTGCATGCGCATACTCTCACACTCGGGCACTATCCTGATCTCTCCCTGTTCGTGTCGGTGCCATCGGACTATGAGATCTGTGCATGCGCATACTCTCACACTCGGGCAATATCCTGATCTCTCTCCGTTCGTGTCGGTGCCATCGGACTATGAGATCTGTGCATGCGCATACTCTCACACTCGGGCACTATCTTGATCTCTCTCCGTTCGTGACAGTGCCATCGAACTATGAGATCTGTGCATGCGCATACTCTCACACTCGGGCACTATCCTGATCTCTCTGTTCGTGTCGGTGCCATCGGACTATGAGATCTGTGCATGCGCATACTCTCACACTCGGGCACTATCCTGATCTCTTTCCGTTCGTGTCGGTGCCATCGGAATATGAGATCTGTGCATGCGCATACTCTCACACTCGGGCACTATCCTGATCTCTCTCCGTTCGTGTCGGTGCCATCGGACTATGAGATCTGTGCGTGCGCATACTCTCACACTCGGGCACTATCCTGATCTCTCTCCATTCGTGTCGGTGCCATCGGACTATGAGATCTGTGCATGCGCATAATC